ACAGCTCTGCACATCGTGATTTCAGAGCGGCAGGGTTGCTGCCTGTTCGCCAGAGACTGTGGCTAAGAGTTTATTCTCTGACAAAGAACAGAGTAGACAGTGTTGTGGTAGTGCCAACCCAGGCCTCTCCTTCACCTTCCTTTACTGGTGCTGGATGGAATGTTCCCTAAATGTCCACATTTTGCTAATTTCAGGTTAGAATTGCCTGTCATAACATAACGCTGGCTCAGCAGACACTAGAGTAAAAATAGTCACCCCGTTCTCCCCATCTCCTTCCTCCGTTGCCTGGTTGTGCGTCTGTGTTTAAATATGTAAGAAAAACACCTGGTCTGGAAATGTGAGTAAAATATGACCCATTTTTCTTAATATATAAGAACTGGTCCTTGTTTCTCTTATATTTGAAAAATATGCGGTTCAAACGTTAGAGCACTGAATTTTAGCCCTGATGTGTGGAGAATGCAGTGCAACCTCTTCATCGTCTCTAACAGCTGCTGAACTTCATCTGCCTCAGTTAGAACTAAAACTTCACCTCCTGGTTTCCTCACATGCCAGAGTGGCATTGTGACATGTGACCGTCCAGACCAGCCCTGCAGATGTGTGTGTCCTCAAGAATGGAGATTTCCTGCCAGGATATAGTAATGTGCTTCCCGTTGCTGTTGACAGCAGGGGCCCCACACCCACTGGCTCGAGGGGGTAAAACTTTTTTTTTTTTCCTCAATTTAAAATGAAAATTAAAGCAACACCATCTGTCCTGTGAATCTTCCATGCCAGGGAAATTTAGTGTGATCAATGCCTGGATCTTGTTTAGACCACTTAGTGGTGGTGTCCCACTGCATCCCGTGTGTATCGTTCATAGCTTGGATCAAGAGCTAAGCATTTGCGCTGGGGGAGGGAGGGAATGCTGCATGGGGTGGGGGGGTCTTAAGGTGTGAATATTTCCATTTCCTATTCATTTCACATGTGTGTCTGGCTAGATCCCTGATGGACACATTGCCTGGGGTCTCAGAAGTGGGACTGCCTCACAAAGTACACCTCCCAGGACAAGTCCTGCTAAGCAAAACTATTCCTCTGCACAAAGCCCCAGATAACTAGGTGACTAATGGTCGTTGATGTGCGTAAGTAGAGAGTATTTTGGAGAAAGAAACAGATTCCAAGGACAGAAAATATGTGTGCATCTCCACACGATGAGCTGGATAAAGTAGCAGCCAGGAGATTGTCATGGGTTCTTGTGGGAGGTTGTGGAAGAAGTTCAGGAATCCGCTGTTCTTGGGCTCTGTCCCCTCAGCCAACCACGATTCACTGCCGTCCCCCAAGTTGGTCTCTAGCGGTGACCTAGCCATAGGGATGCCAAGGCCAAGCACCTCCAAGCTAGGATGGGTTCTGTCTGTGGCTTGGGGTGTTCAGAGGCCCAGCAAATGCTAGAAATTTGCACATACCAAGATTCTGAAGAGGAAACCTTGCCCAAGACTCATGAGAGTATTTTGTGGCATTCCCACTGCTCGCCTAAAAGATGGTAAAATCAACTTCTATAAACCTACTCTCTACTTAAGGCATTTCTAATTCATTTGGACCCATACTAAGAATTGTTAGACATCAGTTTTTCCCCTATATTTTAAGTTCTGTTGAACTAATATTAAAGTGTGCTATTGTTCATACTTTATCCCTGTTCAACCAAGTAATTAAATTTGCCAAGGCAGTCAATACTTTCGTGCCTTCTCGTCTGAGATGAAGTCAATGAAGACTTTCGTCTCTCTTTACTGAGCTAGAACTTTTCCCCATCTATTTAAAAAACTCCAAATAATCTTGAAACAAAACCTAAAAACCCCTGGAGACTGCTCTTTTCATTGCTCTTAATTTACTGCACAATTTTTTGCCCGTTGATAATTGCTTTTAAGTTTTGTTAATCCTAAAATTTAAATCAGTCACTCATTCTAATACTGTCTTTGAAAATCTTTGTTTATTTCTGGATTCTCAGTGGGGACTTAGTAATTTCACCTACAAGAAAAAATCGTATCCTCTGTTTTCTTGGTGCTTCAAAATTTATGAACAGTCCCACAGTATCATCTCATTTTTTATATGTCAGTAACACAGAGGTAGACAAACAAGAATTAGTAGCCCTGAGTGACAGACACGGAAACCGAGGCTTGCCCAGATTTGCTAAGCCGGGTAAGCTGTGCAGTCAGGACCTGAGCTCCGGCTTCTGCCTCCAGAGCCCATGCTCTTTCCATTACCCCACGCACATGTGACCCTTGACCCTGGCCACGAATCACAGCAGATGTGTATGACGGGAGAGGCGGCGTGGATGGATGAGGACAGACCCATCCATCCATGCTCCCAGAAAAATAACTCAAAACACACATCCTGGTGATGACGGGACTATAGCACATCTTCACATACAAAAGAGAGCACATGTAATGCAGAAATTATGTTTTGATAACTGCCCAAAGCATCTTGGAACTTGGAATGTTAATGCATTAGACAAAGTGAAGCAGCAAAGGACAATAAGTTCTAGAATCTTAAGAGGAAAAATGCATGGCGGGGAAAGGAGGGGAAGGAAGATGTGGCAAGTTCCAGAGGTAACTCCCCCCCATTACTGTATACGTCCCTCGTTCAGCAATTCATCAGCCTGGGTCAAGAGAAGCCTTCTTTAGGACCCATTTGGTGGTCCCCAAACACAACTTTTGGTTTCCTTTCTTGATGCCTTTGGGTAAGCTCTTTTTAACATTAACCCCAAATATCTTTTCCTATGACATAATGCCTACTCATCTACTGAGTTTCAGCTGAGCCTAAGCATTGCACGGAAACAGGAGCCCATCCCTCCTCTTCACTCTCACCTTTGGTGCCTTCCTTTGCCATTGCTGGGCGGTGAGGGCTTGGAGCACTGAGGCCATCTCATGTCTCTGGAGCAGGAGGCACATCTGGGGAAAGAGCACTGGATCGAGGGCTAGACCACTCTGGCCAGGCCCTGACTGTGTCGTTCAACATCCCTGGGACCTCAAGTCTCAGCGAGGCTTCCCCGACAGCCCACAGATGCCCAAGAGGAAGACACTTAGCCACCTCTGGATTTTGTTTTACAAAATAAGTGCATGAATTAATTCTTTTTTAATATCCACTCTAAATCACAACTGTGGCTTGGATATAAAAGACAGAATAGGTCTCCCTTTAAGATGTCAACAAATGTATATAAAAAGTTACAAGAGAAGATGACCTCAGCACTTGAAACTTGTAGACATTTCAGTGATCTCCCTCTTCCAGGGAAAGTCTCAATTCTCCTTTTTCAGACTTTAAGCAGAACTGACAGCCATTTGTGCACTCTCTGTTTGAAGTTATATATATATTTTTTTGAGTCAAAAATCTTTTTCCTGGTTTAGCTATTTCCTTAATGAAATTAATATTTCTTCCAGAATGGTTTCATGCAAAAGTGCTGGGGACGTCTGGGGTTCGAATGTTGTTCCTGGAATGCTTCCATGTAAGGAGAATTTCGGGAAGGGGCCACCAGGCTCCTACCCCATCCAGTGGTTAAGGTCTTTTCTGGCTTTACACTTGCTTTGTGCGATTCTCAGGGACAACGTGTGTGCACGTGTGTCCACACACACCTTTGACTCCTCACCCTCGTTCCTCACGTAATTTAAGTAGGGGGAGATGAAAGAAAGCCTTCAGAAGTCACAGTGTTGCCTTAGTGTTTTTCTTTAGTTTTGTATGTTTTAAGAGGAAACAAAATAGAGGAAAACTTCAGGCATATGTGGCTGTTTCCTTTTGAAACTGTCTCGAGTGTGTCCACCCAATCCCAGGACCTGCTGCTCCACCCGCCTCTCCCAGTGCTGGGGGAGCTGTTGATGTCTGGGGAACCCACAATTTTCACCAACTGCTAGGTGTCTCCTTAGTATATTTATCTCCTTAGTATACACGTTTAGAACCTGAAGCTATTCTTTCTACAGCTTTCCCCTCTACGCCTTCTAAATATCTCTGCTCTTAAATGTGAACAACAGCCTGGGACCGTGGAATGCATTGAAAGCTTAGTAACCCCAGGACAGATGGACAACTGAGACCCTCCTATGAGGGGGACTGATGGGTAGTTGAGGAGTCAGGCAGCCATGGGGTTGGCCCAGCGTGGAATGGGAATGTGGCCTCAGGAAGCAGTAATTGCAGATGAGTCTAGCTGGGGCACAGAGAGGTAAGGACAGGAATTGCAAAGGAGCTGGGATAGGTGCAGGAGAAACTGTTAAAAGTGTGCACTTTGAAGCTTCTTTTTTGGTTTCAAATCGGGCGCTGCCACATACCGGCTGTCATCTAACTTCTCTGCGCTTGTTTTCTCATCGGTAAAACGGAGATAATAGAACCACTTCGTAGGGTGCTGTGTTTTAGTGAATTAATGTGTATGACGTGCTTAGAACAATAGCTGGCGCAGAGCGAGCATTATATGGCTGGTAGCTGTTATTACTGCCACCACGACTATGCTTATTATTATATATGATATAATAGTGATGTCATTGATATGATCATCATTGCCGTATGCTATCTATAAGGACTATAGAGTTATACTAGAGTTATAACAGTGGCTACTAACCAGCAGCATCCTCACTTGATGTTGTCTCATTTTTGGACACCAGACATACATTTTTCCCGTCTCCAGTGAGTTACAAAGTACCCATCTATAAGAATGACTACATCATGCCTTAAAAGCGTTTTTGATGATAAACCTGATGATGAGGTTTGGATAAAGCCATTCTTGCAAAAGACCTGAAGCGCTCTCAGGTGGCTCTGGGATATGTTCTGCCGGCTGTTCAGCTGCTATTTTCGGTCATCCCTTTAGAACCTTCACTATGCTCCACGGCAGTCATCACACGGGGACGCCCGGAATCCGACACGCGGGCTGTGCGGGAGACGGAGGCGTCCGCTGCGCGGCGCCCTGGCGGGTCCCGTTGCCCGGAGCTGCGCGGGGCGTGGGCAGGTGGGGCCGCAGCCAGGGGGCCTCACGCTGCTTGTCCTTCCCTTCCCAGACGACTACGCCCAGCTGTGCAACATCCCGGTGGCGGGACGCCGGCGGCCGTACGGACGGGATGCGTTGGTGGACTTCAGTGAACAGTACGCGCCGGAAGCTGATCCCTACTTCGTCCAGGACCGTAAGCCAATTGTCCCATACTCTGGCACTAAGCTGTGGTTAGAGATGAATCCGCGGCTCTCAAAGCGTGACCCCTGGCGACGTGATAGGAATGTGGATTTTGAGGCTCCCCCCAAGACCACGCTGCTCGGGAAGTGTGGGGTGGGGTGCAGCAGTCCGGGTTTTACAAGCCCCCTGGGGATCTCTCCGCACACGGGGCCTGGATGCGGTGAAGTAGTCTTGCTGGTGGGGACACCGTTTACTTTCCTTCAAGTAAAGAAAATGATCTTGTTGCTGTAATTTCCATAACAAAATAATTTCTTTGCACTTTAAGTGGTGGTCTAGTTGAGGGCTAGGGTTTCCTTGAGAGCCTGGTTGTATTGTAGCTTTTTTTTTTTTCATGCAGGGAAATGACCAATGTTAACTGTACCAAGTTGATCTTTGTAAGTGTTTAAGAGTGGGAGATTAAAAGAAAGAATTGCTCTCTTGGTCAGAAATGAATTTTCAGAATACAATTAAGTAAGAAATGATGTGTGCTGGCTTTTCCTGCATTCAGGAGCACAGCTTTTACGGAAGAGGCGGGAGTGCATAGCTGCAAATGGAGTTCCAGTTTAGAAAGCAAATGCTGTGTGAGGAAGCCTACACTAACATGCAAGCTCAAGTTCCCATGGGGGAAATCGGAGCTTTCAAATACAGAATAATGGTTTGAAGTCTGAAAAATGGGCTGGTCCAAAATGAAATATTAGTAGATAACGGTTGTCTCAGTTCAAGAGCAGGAATGGGGAGATGCAATTCCTGGCCCCTTGCCCTCCTGGCCCGTGTGGCTGAGCCACATTTTCAAGACAGGGAATCCCTGTGGACCAAGGATTTGGGGCTTAGGTCTTTAGAGATACCGCTGAATAACAAAGTACAGTGAAGCTTTTGCTTTCTTTGGGCCCTATCACCTGGCCTGAAGCTAACTAGCCAGGCCCTGGTTCTTGAGGAGCAATATGAACTTTGTAGTTGCATTTAGAAACTATTTTAGTTCTGCCTCAAAAGAGCTTTTTCTTTCTTCTCTTCCCCTTCCTTTTTCCCTCTCCCTCCCTTTTTCATTCTCTTTGGCCCTACCTCCCACAACTTCCCCACCCCACCTGCTTTCTTTTTTGAAGGATGCAATATGTCGATCATCTTGCAGAACTAAGAATGCTTTAAAATGTAGACAGAAACAACATTCTATTAAATGTATTAATCCAGCGAGGCTGATTAGCACACACCTGTGTAGCTCCCACCGAGGTCGAGAACATCGCCAGTACCCGGAAGGGCCCTGGTGCCCTAGCCCACCCCCCTCCCCAGGGTAACGGCTATCCTGACTTGCGATGCTGTAGATTAACAGCACTATTTCTCTTCATCAGCAACACATAACCACGCGTTGCCTCATGAAGTGGGCCTTAATGCCCTCACAGCCATATGGCTGTGCGCTTATGGTTTGTACACTTCCCCATGTATGTTATAGGTCAGTAAACGGTTACTTAAGAAAAAATGAAAGAGCGAAGAAATATTAAGGTTGAAAGAAAGCCCAGCTTGCCCCATAAATCCAGAAATACCAGTTTAAGTCTCTGTGCAACGCTGACACAATCCCATGGTTTATGTGTGTAGCTATCACACTATAGTTCAGATTCCAGGAATTTTCGTGTTGAAATGTCTGGCTTACGTACCTTCTTTTTAGTGCTGGCATTGCTTGAAAGTTCTTCTTTAATTTACTACAAATGTTAAGAAATAAACATGTTGATGTCACATCAATTTCCTATTTAGCAACATAGGAAGTCGACATGCAGTTCCAAGACCTCCAGCTTTGACTTTGTAATGGCCTTTAAATTTCTTACAAGTTACAGAGAAATATGTCCCCATTCCCAGCCAGCAAGGGCTTTCTGAAATGATCATGTTGGGTAGATAGTGATGTAGTAGGGAGGCTGGATGAGGTTTCTTATCACCTTTATGGGTCACCAACTCCATTACCTGTCGTTAGAGCAGTGTTTCTGAAGCTGGAGTTTATTAGAGCAGAGATAGGCAAACTTTTTCTATAAAGGGCCAGCTAGTCAAATTTTTAGGCTTTGCAGGCCATGTGGTCTCTGTTGTAGCTACTCAACTCTGTTATAGTATCATGAAAGCAGCCACAGACAGTAAGTACATCAGCAAATGGGTATGACGGTATTTATTTTAGAAAGTAGATTACAGACCAGATCTGTACTCTGCTGACCTGTTCTAGAGTCCTGAAGAAGTATTTTGGAGAGTTCCAAGTTTTAATTTT